AAGGGAGGATCTGTTCACGCCTCTCTTCGAAGTGGCAGCCGGCAACGCCTGGCTTGCTTGGCTAAGGGCGGCATTTGCCTCTGTCTTCACACGGCCTTGTCCTCTGTACCTGTGTCCTCTCTTCTTCTGATAGGGACACCAGTCATGAGATTTAGGGCCCACCCCAAATCCAAGACGATTTCATCTTGAGACCCTTAACTAGTTATATCTGCAAAGACCTATTTCCAAACAAGGTCACATTCTGAGGTTCTGGGTGGACACGAGTTTTGGAGGGACACTGCAACCCAGTATACCCACAAAGAAGTCTGGGGTCATTGGTGTCCCACAAGGTTGAGGTTATGAAAGTGATGCCCCTGCAGACGTAGACCCAGGGGCTGAGTTCAAAGCCCTGGCTGGCACTGGACGCTACTCAGTGGGTGTCAGGTGCTCCAAGGAAATTGCTGCTGCCACCCGCAGGGCCCATCCTGGCCAAGCTTCTACCCTCCCGGTGTGGAGGGCCACTGGGAACAAGGCCAGCAAGGCCCCACTGGCCTCTCTGCCACGGCTCTGCAGCTTGCCTGGTCCCCCTGCCCAAGCTGCTGCTGACGGCCACGGCCACCTGGGCAATCTGCCAGGCCACCTTCCATGTCCTGCCCAAGCTACAGTGTCCTCACCGCTAACCCCCGGAAGGAGACTTTGCTCAGAATTTGCTGTCTTAGACCCACTCGAGATCCCGGGATGAGATCCCAGACTCCAGATATGGGGCTACCAAGCAGCATTATCATATAAGAAAAATCAAGGGAATTAAACTTGAAAAAGAAAGGGGAAAAAAAAGGACAATCAAGGGGCAGGGAAGCCCATGGCTCCCTGCAGGGGACCCTGTGGACCCTCAGGCTCCCTTCTGCTAAGGGAGCACGGCAGCCACGGAAGAAATGAGCACGAGATGGAACGCTCGGAACCCTCTAGGCACAGAAGTATGAGGATGCTATCTTCAGCTTAAAAGCATATGAGGGGGCTTCCCTGGTGGCGCAGTGGTTGAGAGTCCGCCTGCCGATGCAGGGGACATGGGGTCATGCCCCGGTCTGGGAAGATCCCACATGC